CACCATCTTGAGTAAAATGGTCATATCTTGAGTTCCCAATATCGGATTGATACGATTCAAGAACCGTTGGAAACATAAGAGATAGAAGGTTGTATCTCCAGAAGACATATCGACCGGATAACAACTGGATCCCCTTCAAAAAATTGTTGCAAATATGCTGCTATTAGACCCTTACGGATGAATGCTTGAACTGCGATTTCAAGCTTGTCTTTAAGAAGTTTTGTCCGGCCTCGTGTGATAGGGCCAAGTGGTATAGTAAATTCATCATCCTTAGCTTTAGGGCGTGTGGTGCATGTATCATTTACTTAGTGAGATAATATAGTAAATAACATTTACTAACATTAAAGAATACATAAATAGCTCATAGTTATTTAACTTCAGAAGAAACTATATCATCCATAAGAATTTGTTAAATCATTTGTATTACATCCAAACCTTGGTTATATTATCTTTAATATAATCTTTAGTATGTCCAACATACTTCTCTTTAGCTCATTAAACTCAATTATGTCTATTTTCACGTATTAACACATCCATTTATTCATTTTAATATACATGACATCTTTTCATGCCTTAATGCATCATTTTCATGCATTTTCAATTATGGAATCCGTTCATGCCTTAATGCATCCTTTCATGCATTTTCAATTATAGATTTTGTTCATGCCTTAATACATCCTTTCATGCATTTTCAATTATGACAACCGTTCATGCCTTAATTCATCCTTTCATGCATTTTCAATTATGGCATTCGTTCATGCCTTAATGCATCATTTCATGCATTTTCAATTATGGCATCCGTTCTTGCCTTAATGCATCATTTCATTCATTTTCAATTATGGCATCCGTTCATGCCTTAATGCATCCTTTCATGCATTTTCAATTATGAATTTGATTTAGAGCAGTTCATACTCTAAAACTTATTCATAATATTCTTTTCATATTTATAAAATATCATAATCAATATTATAAAACATATATATAAATTCAAACAATCTAAATTGAATATTCATCATCTCTCATACTTATAATAAAGTACTCGCCTGGATTGCCTTGCTTTGATATTCCAAATTCATAATTTGCTACTCCGGAAATTTGCCTTTGCCTTTGGCTTTACTTGATTCAGGAGCTTTTTTCCTATCTACACAATTACCCATTAAGTACACATAACATACAAATGTTAGTATACTCTTTAACCTTATTCTTTAACATATTTAAAACATCATTATCTCAATTTCTATAATAATTTCAACCTAATTGGCTGTTCCATGCTCCATAGTATCGGTACTACTATCCTAGTACCGATACTTCTATACTATGGTACTGATACTTCTATACTATGGTACCGATACCCCCTTCCGGTATCGATACCAAAATTAGCTTCAATGTTTCATGGTATTGATACCCTTTCCACAGTATTGATACTACTATACTATGGTACCGATACCCCATTAAGGTATCGATACCAAAATTAGATTCGATGTTTACATGGTATCGATACCCTTACAATGGTGTCGATACTACCTTAACGGAATCAGTATCGATACTATACAACAAATTCGTCCTCCTTTTTGCCTATAGTATCGATACCCTTGCCCAAAATTTTCAATTTTTAACCCGATTATTAGCCAAATGGGGCCAAATTCCTTTATATTTACATCCCACAATGAGATTTAACTCATCTTTACTTATATATAACAATTTCCCTTCATCTTGTTTCATAAAACATCCAACATTTATCAAGAACATTAAATTCTAAGAATCACACCACTTAATCTAATGTGTTTTTAACCCTATCCAATGCTTCTAATCTCTTATTGGCCTCTATGACATGTCAAATTTACCATAAAACATCCATAACCACTCCTATATTAACATATCATCTAAAAAACCATTTTCTAAAATCTCCATTTTCCACCGTTTGTTAGTTTTAATCTCATTTAATCCGTCCTTATACTTCTATCCAACTCAAATCTTCAATAACCAACTTAACATAAAAGAACAAACCATCAATTAGAGATCTTACCTTTTTGCTTGGGTTGAAGGCTTTTTCGCGTGAAAGAGGAAGAAGAAGAGAGTGTTGACTTTCTTTTTCCTCTTCTCCTTATTTCTTTAATTAAATACCATAATAAATGAATTTTAAATTCATTTATATCCAAATACCCATAAATACCCTTTTTAATCCTTCCTCACTACAATTTAGTCTAGACTAATATTCCCACTCATTCTCATCTTTATTAATTAGTTAATTTAGTCCTCCATATTTTTAATTCCTTTCAATTTAATCACTTTCCTATTATTTGGGGTATTACAACTGGAACCATAACTAACATAGAAAAAGAAGCACACACAGTAAACCGAAAAGAACATAAACAAAAAATCAAAGCATAAACAATCACTAAAAATACAGAAAATCAAGGGTTATACTCGGTTTTGTTCACCGAGAACACGCAAGAGCCTAGCCAGAACCGAAGAGTCGCCGGAACACAAGAGACGGCGATTTTAAGGGTAAAAGCGAAACTTTGCCCTTAGATCTACGCCAGTAGGGGTAGGTATTGTTTTTTTTGGGTCTCGACTTTGGTTTACGGGAACGAGGTGGTTTTTTCTGTTGAGATTTGTTTTCCTGGCCACCGGAGGTGGTGGCCGAAGCGAAGGCGGGCGGTAGATTTGTCACCGGTGGGTGGTCGGTTCGGCCGGCTAGGGAGAGGATTTAAGAGGTTTGGGGATTTTTTTTTGGAATGGTTTAAAAATGATTTTTTCCGGTTTTAGGCTATTTATAGCCGAGGGACCAGTACATAATTAGCTAATAGTTTAATTTTTTTTCGTAGTCCCTCATATTTCGATGTGTAATTCGTTCTGGTCACCTGTTGAAATTGTCTCTGAATTTTCAATTTATTCACTTTAATCCCTATTTTCATTTTTTATATTTTACAAATTAACCCCCTAATTTTGTTTATTTATCTTGTAGTTCATTTTTAGCATTAATTTCAGTCCATAGATTCCAATTTAATTCAATTTGATCCTTTGATCTATTTATGTATTTATTTATTTTTGGATTTTTTTTATTTTTATTAACATTTATTTTCTTAACTTTTTATTTTTTTTACTTTCAAAATTTAACATTTATTTTTTTCTCTTTGAAAATTAACAATTTTCTTTTACTCTATTATTATTTATTTATTATTTTATTTATTTCCTTGAAAATTTATTTTCTTCATTTTTTCCTTTTCATTATTTTTTTCTTTAGACTTGATTTTATATTTTAAATTTTTTTTATTTCATATTTTTTTATTCTTATTTTTACAATCTAACATTTTTTTGACCCTTTTTAAAGGAATTTCAACCAATCAAAGGTAAGTAATTTGAATCGGGTTTTAAATTTTAATTTAACTTTTAATTTTCCCAATTAAGACAACTGAAAACTAAATGGTACCGAAGGGGCAGTTCAAGGGTGCTAATCATTCCTTGACTGTAACCGACTTTCGAATCCGACATATGTCTGGTAAACCACAGATCAGGTAAGATGGTGTCCGGTCAACCTAAATATTATTTTTAAATGATCAGTGGAGGCTCTAACACTTTTATTTCAAGTCGAATCCCAATTCCTGGCCCACCCGAAAGACGGTTGCGACAGACGCAACAACCGTTATTCACCCGTGATTCCAAGACAAAAAAAATCAACATTCCCTCTACAATCAACCATTCAACCGTATACAAAAACAAAATTGGAGCTTAAGGGCAGGGACAAAACATATTAACAGAGGCTATTAGTATTTAGTGAACAGTTTAATCAAATACCCATTACCCATACATCTTACCAAAAACCATTCTAGAAGGGGAAGAGTTGGAAAAACAAAGCCTAGTCAGTAGGAAGTCTTCTGTCCGTCGAGCTTTGTCGCTGTTGAAGGAATAGATCAAGCTTCCCGCTTCCATTTAAGAAGGTAAAAGTTTTTTTTTTTTTTGCTACTTAGCTTAGGAAGATTGAAGATGCAGTCTTCACTCGAGGATTTGGGGTTTCAAATATGCAATCTTCCATTCAGTGAAGATTAAAGAAGAGTGAAATGGGTGGGAGTGAAATGGGTGGGGGTGAAACGAAGAAGATTGAACTAGGGAATGGATAGGAAGAAAGAAACGAAGAGCTGAAGAAGATAGTTCGAGAAAAATGGGAAGAACATACCGAATTACTTATATTACAAAAAGGAAAATAAAAAAAATTCAGTGATGAAAATTTGTTTTACAAGCTAGGTTCTAAAGAATCTAAACTTCTAAAATTGTTATATATTTTATTTAAGATTTATGAGTTAGCATTTTAGAATTTAATTCTTAATTCTTTTTAATCATTTTTAATTTTTAATTCTTTTTAATCATTTTTAATTCTTAATTCTTTTTAATCGTTTTTAATTCTTTATTTTAATTCTTAATTGAGATTCTATTTGATTTAATCATTTTATGTTCTTTAAATTTATTTAGATTCCATTCAACCTTCATTTTTCGTATTTCATTACATTTTTATTAATATGTTGAATTATTCAAATTAAATAATAATTGAAGTTTAAAATTAAATTAGATTTTTGTTTAACATTACGCATATATTAAATTGTGCAAAATTTTAAAAAATTCACGACCGCAACTGCTATAAATACGATGCAATCGAAAACATGACCGTAAACACTATTTAAAACACTGATTATCGCTTTACGGTTGTAACGCTTTAAATGATCAAGAATTTCGCTAGCAATAAGAGTGCAATATGCTATTTGTTTTCTAGCAATATACGGAAACTGAGACTCTCTGATAACCTAGTCAATAGACCTAGCCAGTCTTCTTGAAAGAACGCGAGTCAAAATCTTATACTAAGTTTCCAACTAAACTGATCGGTCTCTAGTCTTCCATACTCACTGGAGATGAGACTTTTGGAATTAGTGAAACGAATCATTGATTAACAGCTCTGTCCCATTTCTTATCGTGGTAGAAATTATTAAAAATCCATTATTCGCTGCTTAACTCTTGCCAAAATATTTTGTAGAAGTCCAAATTAAAACCGTCTGGACCCGGGCTCTGTTTCCATCAGCTGTGATTATGGCCAACCAGACTTCTTCTGAAAACGGAATTTCTAATGCTATTGATGAAGATACACTCAATTTTTTAAAGTCTCCTTCAACCCACTTTACTGGTGTTGTTGGGTGTTCGTTGTATGAACCACGAAAATGTCTCAAAAAAATCCTAGAGATGTGTTTAGGATCCGATATCAATTGGTTATCCACTTGAATTGCCGAAATCTGATTTTGTTTATTCCTCATGATTAAGACCGTATGAAAGAACTTTGTGTTCATGTCGCCGTCATGGAACCACCTGAGGCTAGACTTTTGTATCCACACTCTCTCCTCCTTCCTATAGATAGCCCATAATTCCGCTTTAAGAGAATTGATCTCGCTTGCCACTGCCTCTTTATTGTTTGTTCTTAGCAGTTGGTCTTCCAAGCGCGAAATATTTTCTTCCTTCTCTTTGGTTTTACCATTTTTGTTTGCCCTAAAATTAGTATTCCACTCCTTTGCCTCCATCTTAACTACACGTAACATTTCCCATGCCTTTATCCCTTGGTGCTCACCAATGACCTTTTTAATGGTATCCACGAATGACTGCTCATCCGCCCGATATGAAAAATACTTGAAGGGGCGAGGGCTCCCTAACGACGCCTTCTCTCTTATCATTATCGGGTTATAGTCTGAAAGGCTCATCGGTAGAGCCTCTTGATTAATCGATAGGAAAGAACTTAATATTTCTGGAGAAACCAGAATGCGATCCAACCTGCTTGCAGAGGAATTCACATGTCCCTTCATCCATGTGAAGGTGCCACCCACCAATGGCAAGTCAATAAAATTGCACTTATGTATGAACTCAGGTAGAATGTTGGCTGCTTCAAAATTCACTTCTGCCCCATACTTCTCATCACTTGATTGAAATCACCTCAAGATATCATGGGTATGTTCAACATTTCAACCGTATCAGCTAATCCTTTCAAAAAAAAAAAAAAAATCTTCCTAACTTGCGGATCATTCGGTGCGTAGATATTAAGGAGACCACACCGAAGCTTCTTTTCACTAATGGTTCCGATTAGGATCAGGTACCTGCTCTCATGATTCTCCTTTCTAGGTGGAAAAACCTCGAATCCCACATTGAAATTATCCCCCAGATGTCCCATTCGAAGGAACAACCGCCACAATTCCGTAATTGTTACCCCAAAGTTTGTTTACCATTCATGGTTATCTTGTAGTTTGGACTCCTATATAAAAACCACGCTAGGTTTCTTCGACATAACTATACACTTCACATCCCTAATTTTCTCCACTCGCCCCAATCCTCTTACATTCCAAGAAATACCACATAAATTTAACATAAAGTAAATTATAAAAACGCAACAGCAATACACGCTCAAACCTCATTCTTAACGACACCCATCAGCTTCCTGTAGGTCTTGTAAACGTCGAACTACCAATTCCGACCCAATATTATAAAATTACCATTTGTCTTCAATTTGAGAACAAGAAAATTGATGTAAAATATAATAAAATTTAGTATAACAATATTCAATGTTGACATAATATTATATTTAATTTTTTGAATATAGGGGAATCAAAGAAGATTAGGGATGAGCATGAGATCCGAACTCGATGGGTTTCGACTCAATTTTAATCTATCGGGTCGATTTTTTTTTAAATTCAGGTTTGGGTCTAGTCGAGTCGGGTCGGGTTTTTTAGAGGTTGTGTTCATCTCGGCTTTAGAGTGAAAAAAATATAATTTAGAGATAATTATAATAATAACCCTCTATATATTATTATTTTTTTCAATTCAATCCCTATTTTTATTGAATAAAAAAATATTTTTTATAAATATATTATTTCGTGGTGGTCGAGATGGGTTCGGATTTTATCTCATAAAGTCGAGTCAGTTCTGATTGGAAAATGTTCGAGTCGGGTCAGGTTGGCTGGAGGATGTAAATTTTTTCTTAACGAATTGGGTTAACTGAAACCTGACCCATGCATATCCCTAAAGAAGATTAAGAACTAGTAGCCATAGCCAAGTCGTTACTTAAGAATTTACGAGCAAAGGGAGCTGCACATATCAAACCATTCCAAATGGTTGTGACCAATAAATCTTTATAGCATCCTAATCCGATACAACATAAAGTTGGCCGATTATAATGTCACACAGGACCATCGGAGTGATTAACCCAAAAATTTCCTTTTAATATTTTATAAATAGCTAATTTGAAGCCATTCGAGTAAAGTAAATCAAACACAAATATATAGAGTTTACATCACAGAGCTCCCAAAAATAAGTATATCAAAATAATACAATCGAATATTTAAAATAAAGTTATGACTCAAGTATAAGAAGATCTATTAATAATACATGCCTTCTAAAGAATGAGACTCAAGACGTAGTCTGCTGCTCGATCAGTATGGGATGTCTGCTGCACAATAAGCTCCTTGAGTTCTCTTTATATGGACCTACACACGGAAACAAATTTCAAACACTGAACTCACTACCCCATTGCCATGCTAACAACTAAAGCATACTAAAAAGTTTTCATTAAATGCTCTTGCTATCGAATGCAATAAGGGAAGTGAGTATACTCGTATACTATACTCTACTCAATGGTAGACATCATGATATGGTTGGAGGGTTACATATCTCGGGACACACACCCCTCTAGTCTACCTAGGATGAGGTCCGAAATCTCTACATCAGACTCAACACCCAACTAACCCACCCTCGTGATTGTTTGGGCTTCGCGTCCTAGTTAGTTATTAAAGTTCTTCACGCACTACCTAAGGATATATGGGCATTCTATTTATCTAAACCAACATCATCTACTAAAGTAACTCAGGTGTCCTTATTGTTTCCCGGGCATCAACCAAGGCTAGTTTTATGTCATCCTAGATGATCTTGTTTTTAGCATTAATTGATTATTATCATGGTTCTCACTTGTAGTTTTATTTAAAAGTGATTCGAGTGTTCTTGGGTCCCTCAATAGTACCTCTATTTTCTTTAGACTTCTTGTCTAAAAAAGTACACGGGTACCGATATTGAGCCCCTTGGTATCTGTACTGATCCTTGGGTATCGATACTCTCCCTTGGGTATAGATACTAAACGAAAAATTTGAATATGAGATGAAAAGGTTGTATGGATACTCCTATGCTAGGGTAACAATACTTTTCGGAGTATCAATACCAAATTTTTCTTCGATGTTTTGAAAAAAATAATACCTCAGTATCGATACTTCTTTTAGGAGTATCGATACTCCACCCTTGTTATTGATACTCCCATGAGTACTTATACCAAAATTGGCTACTGGAATACAGATCTCGATAACCCTCCTACGAGTATCAAAACCAAACCCACAATATCGATACTCAATGAATGAGTACCAATACTTATAAACTAAAGGAATAATTCAACAAAATAACCATAACGTTTGACAGTATTGTCAAATTTTCTCGTATTGTTTTTTTGGAATATTTGACCACTCAACGTTTAGTTTTGGGTAAAAAAACAACCAACGATGGATGAAAACTGTTAGTCAACTGACAGTTAATGCTTTAAGCTGACCAAGCACGTACACGTGGACAGAGATGTTGACATGGCTTGTCTAGCTCATGGCATATGATGATGTGACTTATCCATGTAAACTAAATGTTGGTGTGGCATGTTCACGTTGACTAAATGCTGACAAGGCACATGGGTTTTTTTTTATTACATTAGGAAAGGATGGATTAAACCTCCAAAAGATGCACCCCATGGGATTTGAACTTGGGCTCAATGCCTAACCACCAAACCAAATCACTTAGAGGTTATTATTATTCTAATAAAAAATATTTAAAGTATATTGTAGCCATCAAAACCACAACACATGCACTTTATAAACTTTTATTTTAAATTTAGTTTTTATTAAATTTAAATTTTATACTCTCTAATTAAATTCACATTTTAAACAATTTAATCTTTTATTTAAATTTAAATTTATAATTTAGTCTTATGTCCAAAAGAATTAATACTAAGAAAAATTCATAAATAATTTTAGTCATAAGACTATATTAAATAAAATTAAATAATTAAATTGTAAAAATATTAAAAGATTAAATTATAAGAAATATTTGCAATTAGAGAGTATCTAATTTAATAAAAAAATAAATTTAAAATAAAATATTAAATTCGTTTACTTTCTATTTAAAGTTTATAAATTGAAAATTAATTTTTGTTTAAAATATAAATTTTAATTAGAGAGTATATATTTTAAATTTAATAAAAAATAAAAGTTTTTTAAAGTGTTTGTGTTGTGGTTTTGATGGTTACAATATACTTTAAATATTGTTATTAGCGTAACAATAACATCTAAATGAGTTGGTTTGGTAGTCAGGCATTGAGCCTTCCATCTAGTGAACCTAAGTTCAAATCCCATGGGGTGCATCTTTTGGAGGTTTAATCTCTCCTTTCCTAATTTAACAATATCTGATTGGTTTTTATTTGTTATTAATTTAGTAAAAAAAATATCAGCATTTAGACTACATGCATTTGACATGTCATCATGTACCATGAGTTGGACAAGCCATATCAGCATCTCCGTCTATGTGTACGTGCTTGGTCAGCATCAAGCGCTGACCATTAGTTGACTAACAGTTTCCATCCATAGAGGGTTTTATGACCCAAAACTAAACGGTGAGGGGTCAAATGTTCCAAAAAAATAATACGGGCAAATTTAATAATACTGTCAAATGTTAGGGTTATTTTCTTTCATTATTCCTAACCTAAAATCCCCTTAGTTTGCCCTTCGTACGAACAATATCAGTATTGTTCTTCTAATACTGATACCCAAACCCATGAATGTCATTTTTGGGTATGAATTTGACTCCCAAAATAACCTTAAATCCCTATTGAGGTTCCCTTACATTATTAGAGTCTTATATAGGTTAAAAGGAGTCATAATAGGTCCTTGAACATATTGAAAAAATCAAAAGCTAGAATTTACCGTGGATGCTCATTCATGTTTCACAACTCAACTCTCTAGCTAGATGCACTCTAAAGACTAATAAATGGTATAAGGGAGTCGTAAATGTGTTACAAGGGCCTCCTAACTTCTAAAAACGTCCTACAATCATCCAAGGTCAATTTCTCCTTCCCTCTAGTCTTAGAGCTTTCTCTCAGTTCTTTCACTAATCAAAGGAAAGTAAATGAGTTACTAACTCATCTAGAGGCTTGGATTGAAGTTAAGGACATTTTGTAAAACTTAAATCCATTAAAAATGAGTTGGAGCCACTTGGTTTTTTAAACCCCCACTAAAACCCATTTATGGCTACTATGACTCAAATCTTGGGCTGAAGGGCTTAAATTAAAGTTTGAGAGGTAGGGATGAATACTCTTACCTTTGTAAACCTGAACAAAGCTTGTATCACCACCAAGTTTTGATCATTTGAATAACTCTCGAAGAGGAAAGGGAGAGATGAAAAGGGAGATAAGAGACAAAGTTGGTGAATACTATGGGGGTATACCAATGTGAGATCACCCAAATTAATAGGTGATCAACTTTTGTTTCAAATAAGGGTGAGATTTCTCTTTTAGTCATCTTTTTGTATCCTATTATTAAAATCGGTATCCATTTTATACCTAATGGGTCCCAAACCCTAGTCCAACTCAACATCTAAATGAACCAAGCTCTCCTACAAGAAAATTGGACTTATATAGCCTATCTTGGATTAACCCTAATATACTACATTGGAATTCAGGACGTTACAACTCTCCCCTCCTAATAAGAAATTTAGTCCTTAAAATTTATCTGTCTAGAAAAGATACAGATATTGAAGTTGTATATCCTTTTTAGTTTCCCAAGTTGATTCCTTTGCATCATGATTCTTCCAGAATACCTTCAATAAGGGAATTTTCTTACTCCTTAATTCATTTTCCTCTTCCTCGTAGGTTATGACTTGGCTCACCTTGATTCGCTTTAACCATATGATATGGGAAGCATCGGAATGATACCTCTTAAGCATAGACACGTGAAACACTTTATGGATGTATTCCAACTGTAATAGTAAAGCCAACTGGTATGCTACGGGTTTGAATCTCTAGAGTACCTCATATGGTCCTATAAAACCAGGGGTTAACTTTCCTTTACACCCAAATCAAAGTACCTTCTTCCATAG